GGACTTTCCTGTATAATTTTTTTTTCAATATATATACCAAAAATTTCCCATCCTTAGTGATTATATCGAGGTCTGGCTGTATATATATTAAAAAAAAAAAAGGGTTTCCGTGTCATATTTTTTTGTGGTCTAATAAAGCTTTATTATATTTCTTTAAAGTCTTATAATTTTAAAATCAGCTACAGTCAACCCCCTCGTTAATATTAACTTCGTTAATATCAACTTCTTGTTAATATCAACTCTTATTAAGAAAAATAGGTTCAGGCTATACAAAACTATCCCGTTGTTATAAATCCTCGTATATATCAATACCATTGTCTAATCCAAATGGGTTGATATTAACGAGGGTCGACTGTCGTTATCAGCATTTATTATTTTTTATAAATTTAGCTTGGAACGTACAATGCTATGCATTATACTCGCTTTCTAGTATGTACAACGCTTTTTATAAAATAAAAAGTTTATTGAGTTCTGAAACTTTATCAGTTGCTGAGCTCATCCAAAAATAAAAAGTCACTAAAATTTTATCCGTATTAAACTATTTTCTTGGTTTTGGAATCGAGTTCCATCTTTTTTCACATTGCTGCCAAGTTCTATCGGGAATTTTTTCGGCCACAAGTTTCCAAACCTCGCTAAAGGCTTTTCTGTTATCTTCCACAACTTGTCTAAGCTTGCTATCTTCTTCATCAGTCCAATCTGTGGAGCGTCTTTTAAGATATTGGTGTCTATTTAGCAAAACTATACAGTATTTAGTAATGTAATGAGATTAAAAGTAATCGCTTATATGAAGTTGATGTTTCGTTTAACGTGCCAGACTCTCCTTAAAAAGATTAATTTCATAGCTGTTGAATGTTTAGTCTTTACACTTGCATCTGAGTCCGAACATTGACATTAAACGAAAAATCAAACAAGCAAGCGAATGAAAGAAAATCATAAAGAATTACAGCGAACCGATTTTTACAACTTTTTGCATCTCGATGAGCAAAATGAGTTTCAATAATGGCCCAGGATGTGCCATGTTCTTTGATCAAGCTTGTTAAATGTGCATCCTCTTCGGGTGTCCAAGAGACTTTTGGAGCTCGTTGAGTCATTTGTTTCAAATAAAATATAGAGTGAATTTATTTGTAAATTGATGAAAGTTGTAAGTAACGATGAAGTAACATTTAAATAAAAGACAATTTCATTAGTTTAACTAAAGATTTTCTTAATGTTGTAGCATAATTAATATTCTCGATTCTTCTCTCAAATAATGACGTTTTTAATCTAATAATCTTTCATTGAAAGATTGTTAAAGCTTACTATATTATTAAACTTTTTAATACGGGGGATAATTTGAATAACTTTACTTGTGATAACTTATAGTTTAAAATTCAAATTCAGATGAATGTTTTCTGATTATTTCGCCCCGATATATTAGACACATTAATGATTTGTATAGAAAAAATTAATATTTGAATAACTTTGTGCACAGTTAGAGGTTGATTATTCGAATAATGAGAATAATGATTAGGAATTAAGAAAAAAATGCTTTTTTTTTGTTTTTCGAAGAGTTTATCTTTTAAATTTGATAAAACGTCTTGATACTAAAAAAATAACAGTAATTGTTTCTTTACATTTCAGCTTTACCGATTTTTGATCCCAAGCTTTTTTTGAATTATATGATTTATGATATAGTAGTTAAGTGATCATTTTTTATGTCCCAAGTAAAGGAAAAAGCAAGCATATACGACTATGAACATTATACATATTGTAGCGTAGCTTAGACTACGACCAATATAGTTTTGATAGATCACGATAATTCCTGACT